ACCTATGAAGAAATGAAAATCACAGAGCCATATTGCAGAGATTATAGCCAGTCATATATCACAGTTACTATCCATGGCTCCGAGCGCCAACAATCATCCCATGTTCAAAGGCTGTTACATCGCGTTGTTTAGCCATATATTCAGAAAAAAATCACTTCTGTCGTGGTAAACAACCTGCTTCCCTATTTATGATGGTCTGGCCCTCTAGCAACTTCAGCGTGAAATTATAGCTAATTATGCGTATATGTGTATAAGCAGCTTGATTGGGCAACTATGTAAGAAGGAGAGATAAGGCAGGTTTTATATATAAAAATCATGGCAGCCTTTTTAGTAAGCCTTATTTGAAGAGAGAGTGGGATGACAGGTTCTATCAAGAAATAAAGTTACAGTGGATTATATCAGAGACAAGTGCCAGTAATATAGCACAGACATAATGAATATCATTCAAGCCTTTTTACTAGGCTGCATTTGGAGAGAGAGAGAGATGGGACACTTTACCAAGAAATAACAGTGGATTTTATCAGAGACAAGAGCCAGAAATATAAACACTTTATTTTGGTCTTTGTCCTCAAAAGCTGTGTGAGTTGCGTTTTATCAAATGAAAACAACAAAAAGGGCTAAAGCGCACTATCTGCTGGGTAAAAGACTTCAATCGGCTATACGGAAATGTACTGTAGGAAAGTGAGTGATCAGGAATACAGTGTGCAACCTCTGACAAAAACAGGCAGAGGAACCCTGTGGGTACACAACTAAAATCACACAATGAGAAAGCGCCACTACTGTAAAGAAACCACTCACGTTACTGTTGTCAGCATATCGTGTGTCCGCTGGTCCTACAGCGCCGTGAAAATTTGCAGGGGAACGAACTGAGGACTGTCAGGGGTGATCGTGTGAACAGCGTGAACTCAGCTGGCCAGGCTGAGCCGCAGCTGCACGAGTATAAGGCGGTGTTAGTGCCGGACCGTACGGAGACCCCAATAGTCTGTGGGGGTGGTGTCTCTGGAATGTCAAAAACGAAGGGGAATGAAAAGAGCAGGACAAGGGTAGTGTCCAATGCCGGCGGCTACGCGTTTCGAGGCTCTGCCTCTTTGTCAAGTCTCAATTTAAAGTGCAATAGAAATGGCGGGATGCCTTGCCAGTGTTTACATTTGACAGCTGGGAGGAGTCAGACGCTGCCCAGAGTGACTGTGATTGGTGGAGGAGACAAGTCTAAGGGGACACTCCCACTTAGGGGCTGTGCTTGGGGGAATGGGCATAGATCGAGCAGAGCAAGTCTATCATAAGGTTGAGTGGGAGGAGAGATGAAGGGATGACCAAAAACAACCCACACGGACGGCATATTAATATCATATTGATAGCATTGTGATCTCGGGATGCCAAATGACAACCTGGATTATTATGTATGGGTGTGTGCCTATAATAGACACAGGTTGGATGTCTGGGGTATAAAGAATCTATATGGCTGTCTGTTTAACCAAAAAGAGGTAAAATAGTAGGTCGTGCTACATAAATTAGAAATGTGTATATAATGAGGGAAATCATTAGCAAAGGATGGGGGTATGTTGGAACAGTGCTTAGAAAAACTCATCATTGTCTGGTGGGTCCATTCATAGGGGCAATGCTCATACATGTGTGCCTATATACACCCATGTGTATTCACTTGTGCACCTAACTGTACACGTACCCCTGTGAATACGCATGTGCACCTATCTGTAAGCGTACCCCTGTACATACGCATGTCATCCCATGTCTTCCCACCAGTAAGTGTCTATATGTCTATAAGCTGAGAAAAGTACACGTTAAAAGCTGTTTTATTCGAAAAATATTATTAAAATCACTAAAAGGAGCTACCACTATAAAATATATATATGTATATATATATACTCATAAAAAACAAAGGACTAAAAAAGTAGGGAATTAAAAAGAGGTTAACTAGATAAACACTCTAAATGGCATAGATTACAAGATGGTGTTGACCTCGATCTCCTCATTGAGACCTATGGGTACCAAAGAATTTAATTTGAAGATCCAAAAAGTCTCACGGTTACAAAGACGGTGAAAACGCTCAGAAACCGATAGCTCTGAGGAAATATGTTCGATTGCGAACACCCGGAGATCCTGGGTCCGTTTGTGGTGCTTAAGGGTAAAATGCCGGGGGACGCCATGGTCAAAATCTCCTTTTTCGATTAGGCGTCTGTGTTCACCTATCCTGGTACGTAAGGGGCGTATTGTACGACCAACATATAATAAGCCACATGGGCAAGTGAGGCCATAGACAACATGGTCATGTGAACAGATAATGAATTGCCTAATGGAATTGGAATTCTTCAGATGGTCATGGAAACGAGTTTGACCATTTGACAATCCCGAGATCACAATGCTATCAATATGATATTAATATGCCGTCCGTGTGGGTTGTTTTTGGTCATCCCTTCATCTCTCCTCCCACTCAACCTTATGATAGACTTGCTCTGCTCGATCTATGCCCATTCCCCCAAGCACAGCCCCTAAGTGGGAGTGTCCCCTTAGACTCGTCTCCTCCACCAATCACAGTCACTCTGGACAGCGTCTGACTCCTCCCAGCTGTCAAATGTAAACCCTGGCAAGGCATCCCGCTATTTCTATTGCACTTTAAATTGAGGCTTGACAAAGAGGCAGAGCCTCGAAACGCGTAGCCGCCGGCATTGGACACTACCCTTGTCCTGCTCTTTTCATTCCCCTTCGTTTTTGACATTCCAGAGACACCACCCCCACAGACTATTGGGGTCTCCGTACGGTCCGGCACTAACACCGCCTTATACTCGTGCAGCCGCGGCTCAGCCTGGCCAGCTGAGTTCACGCTGTTCACACGATCACCCCTGACAGTCCTCAGTTCGTTCCCCTGCACATTTTCCCGGCGCTGTAGGACCAGCGGACACACGATATGCTGACAACAGTAACGTGAGTGGTTTCTTTACAGTAGTGGCGCTTTCTCATTGTGTGATTTTAGTTTTATCAAATGAGGCTTTCTCAGAGATGTATTAAAATTGTGCTTTGATGCATTGTATACCAAAATATACATTTTACCTTTTTTGAGGCCATCCAAACATAAACGTGGTTTAGCCATCTAAAATAAATTGTAGTTATATTGTGTATACTTACTCTGTGTGTAGCAAAGAATGTATATTGTAATCTTTTTAAAAATGTACATTTTTATTGATCTTGTTGCTCCAACACTAAATAGAGATGTGGTTTTGACATAAAGTCCCATTAGAAATAGTAAAAATAATAAATTTGCAGTGTGCACAATATTCTTTTTTATAGTGTTAAAAAAATGAATCACTTTTACATATGTAATCTTTAATGACTTAAATACAATTAAGTAATTTGTGAAATCTGTTTTATTGATGGAGCATTGTAATAGACTGAACAATAGGAGACAGAGCATGACAGCATTATATGCAGCACCTTGCCAGTCCCAGGGTAGCATATAACACCTCAGACACCGGGGTGCAATACAGGACTTACATAAATTTTGTTAGCTGAGGAGCAAGGGCGGACACATTAGGTGTGTCACCCAGACAGTGCCTGTCATTTTAGGACAGGTGCCATTCACATACAATACAAGTAAAAAACATTGTGATAAAGGCATTACTGTGTGCTTCCTCTACTATACATATTTACTTTAATGGTTACAAATACAGGTGAAACTCGAATAATTAGAATATCGTGCAAAAGTTCATTTATTTCACTAATGTAACTTAAAAGGTGAAACTAATATATGAGATAGATTCATTACATGCAAAGCAAGATAGTTCAAGCCGTGATTTGTCCTAATTGTGATGATTATGGCTTACAGCTCATGAAAACCCCAAATCCACAATCTCAGAAAATTAGAATATTGTGAAAAGGTGCAATATTGCACTACTTCCTCTTCTGACTGTTGTGCATTACCAATTCGTGTTCCCTGCACTCTGTGTGATACGTACTCCTGACCCTTGCACTCTTTGCATTTCATACTCCTGACCCCTGTAATTTGTGCATTACCCAATTCTGACCCCTTTTCTTTGAACGTTACTTACTCCTGAACCTTGCACTCTGTCCAATACACTGTCCTGACATCAGTGCTCACCCATTTTTGACTCCTTCACTCTTTGTATTATGTAAGTCTGACCCCTACACCCTGTGCATTACCCATTGCTGACCCCTGCACTCTTTGCATTGCCCATTCATGACCCCTGCATTATGTGCATTACCCACTCCTGACCCCTGCACTCTTTGCATTACCCATTCATGACCCCTGCATTATGTGCATTACCCATTCCTGACCCCCTGCAGTCTTTGCATTACCCACGCCTCACCCCTGATTAGAAGGACAATGGCATATGTGTGCTGTGAATACAATGGAGGAATTCATAAAAACTGGAGCAGACAGAATCTGGAGCAGTTGACCATGGCAACCAATCAGCTTCTCCGTTGGTTAATTGGTTGTTATGAGCAACAGCTCCAGATTCTGTGTGCTTCGGTTTTTATAAATTCCCCCCAATGAGTACTTTCAGAATCTATCCATGCCCCTATAAGCCTTCTCCCCCCAGGCACAGTACGGTAACGTGCACCACCTTATCCCTCTCCTTGGGCACCTCAGGTCTTTTACAGCCCTAGCAACACCCCTGCCGACTACGATCTCACCCAACAGCTAGGCTTTCACATAATCTGCAGACAGAGTGCCCTGTCTGCTAGTACACCACCTTCCCTTGCACAGCTCCGCCCACTTTATTGGAGCTCTGTAAACAAACCCGCCCACTATACTAAATACATTGGAGCTTTGGTACGTAGTCACGCCCACTGTCTTAATTACAATTGAGCCCCGCCTACTATAATAGCGCTCTTTATCCAGCCCTGCCCACTATACTAACTACACTGGCGCTCCCGCATGCAGCCACGCCCACTATCCTAACTACACTAAACTCCCTTTTAAATATGGGCGTGGTCGCCAGTCAGAACGAGGCGTGAAGCGCTTCTCTTTGTCCGGGATGCGGCTGCGCAATGCACCCAGAGGAAGCTGCTTGTCCTAGCAATATGGCTGAATTGTCATCAGTACTGAAGCGGCTCTGCAGAGTGGTGCTCTTCCTCTCACAGCTGTACGTGTTCTCCGGGCGCGGTAAGTGTCCTGCAGGAATCTCCGCTCAGACTACCCTGCTGGTCTTCTATGGACATGATGTTCATATTGGTCTGCCTGTACAGACCATTGTATTGCACCACTGTTCTGTGTGTGAAGGGACAAGCGATATAGCAGAAGTGTACGTTTTATTCTGGCCTTAGTGGAAACTAGGGATGGGCAACTTAAGCCCTCTAGCTGTTGTTGAACTACAAGTCCCATGAGGCATTGGAAGACAGACAGTTACAGACATGACTCCCAGAGGCAGAGGTATGCTGGGATTTGTAGTTAAAACACAGCTGGAGGGCCAGAGTTGCCCACCCTTGGTGTAGAGTGATAGGTTCACAGTTGAAATACATAAGTGTGATCCATTTTACATGCCACAAATGTTTTTGGGTTTTTTTCAGCTTTTTTTTTTTTTTTATCCTAAATCTTTGGCTTCAGTTTTCTCTGCTGGAGATAGAGAAATAGACCTTGGTCAGCGAACACTTTAGGCACCCTTTACCCAGGTGTTTATGCTGTGGCTGGGGATTCCTACAGCAAGAACTTGTGGATTCCAGATGTGTGTACAGATGTTCCAGATAATGGCAGGCTGACAGCGGCCGCATCTGTCAGGAGCATTCTACATGTGATCACACATGGAGCAATTACCTGTGGTTTTTGGATTGATGGTCTGCAGACAGATTGAATTCAGAGACGATCATCTATCCAGAACCACAGGCAATTCTACCATTTACCATTACATGCGGACTGCTGCTGCCACCCTGTCATTTACTTGGGATTCTTGCTGCTAGAATCTGTAGAGCCACACTACACCTTAGAAAGATCCTGACAATATTGTCTGTATTCACCCCGCTACCTGATTGACAGTTGGCTCGGCCTCTCTAGAGCCAGAGCCAGCTGTACCCGCCCTCTCCTCCCATCTGTCCCTCTAGACAGCGCTGGAGGAATGGAGAGGGGAGGCAGGAATCCCTGCGGGGAGCTGTGATTGACAGTCACTTCTCTTTGCAGGGAGACGATCATAAACTGAGTGATCAGCGGATTGCTCAGCTCAGCTCTCCATCTATAGACCCGATGTGTGACACCTGCAGTGTCACACATCAGCTCTAACTATGGGGATGGGTGCATTTCACTCTCCCCATAAATCGCCTTTTAAGATGATGCTTCCAACCCCAGGGTTGTGACAGCTATTCCTCATCTTATACCTTTTATACCAATAGGAGTAAGGCTGTAGTCAAAACATCAAATGCAGTATGTCACAGCAGCCATGGGGGATCGGCAAGACCCCATGGTTGTACATTCAAAGGTTTCAGATTAGACCACTTCCACAATGGGACATTTGCATTTCCAGGGTCTCTGTTTTTTACAGGACAGTAACCAATCTGAACCTGTGGAATCTAAACAAAGATGAGGAAACATTTTGTGTGGATTTACCCTTTGAAATACATAGATTGTATTATATGGTTCTGTTAACTGCAAAGCATCAAAGCCTAAACCTCGTTACTTTTTCAGGATCATTGAGCTTTGAGCACTTCCAAGCTGCTGCACAGGCCCTAAAAGACCAGCCCCTGTCATCTTCTGTTCCACCCAGCACCAAAGTTACAGGTCAGTATTATCAGCTGCAGGTTGGCTCACAGATCTGTCTTTTCATAGTATTGGAAATTCACGAATTGATCATTTTTGTTGGGTTCATGTACATATTATCCTTCATTGGCTAGACTTTATAGTGCAGCAACATTGTGCATAGTCAGGTGTGTCCCTACACTTTTCATCACCTGAAGCCGGTTGGGGAATTGTGGCATGGTGTGCTGGAGGGGTACATTACTGATGGGTGGTTTTTGCTGGTGGCTCCAACTCTGTACTCTGTCCCACCCAGCTCGCTGACATCACTGGTTGCCCAGAGCTGGGCAGCACACCAGCCAGTGTGTCCCACCCAGCTCCTGGCAACCAGTGACATCAGTGAGCTGGGCGGAACACCAGGCAGCATGTCTCAGGATGTTTAGAGTTCTGGCCGCCTAATTATATGGATGGCCAGTGGCTATGGCATTTCAGGCTGTTGACTGTCACTGGCGGCTGCTGAGTCGGTGACAACCAGCAGCTTTGAAGGCGGTGCCTGGGCACGTCGTCGACAGCGATTAAGGAGGCGGGTCTTAGTGATGAGGGAGGTGGGGCCCAGTGACAGAGGAGGTGGGGCCCGCAAGCAATCGTGGAGGGGAAGGAGGCGGACAGAGGATCGGCTTGACCTCCCTCCTGAGACCCTGCAGAGCCCACCATAGGGAGTCTATGGTGGGCTCTGCAGTGTCACCCCCAGGTGGGCTGTTTGGGTTATCAGGTGGACTTATCTAGAAATCACAGGGCCCCATACAAGATTTTGCTATGGGGCCCTGTGATTTCTAGTTACGCACCTGCAGATGGCCCTGTGCATAGTTCATATATGTTTAGCTAGTGATTTACTTTTAAATATAGTCAAAGATAGGGAGACATCCGTACACTGGTGATCTGGCTTTGGGGTGCTTAGAAGCCCCCATGTAAATGTACTTGTTTACAGTTCTTAAAGGATACATACCCTAATGAGTGTTTTTAGTGAGATGAATAGTAGAAGAAACATTGTTTCTAAAATGTTATTGTTTTTCTTTTCAGACGTCACCCTTACACCTGATTATATAGCTAAATGTCCAAGCAATGACCTCTGCACCAAGTTACCTGCTGACTGTATGAAATGCAATACAAACAAAACTTGTACTTATGGAAAACTCGATATTTATAACTGTACAGCCAAACCCCATGTCATGTGTGTGGTAAGGAAATGAACATAAGTATATTATACTCTTTTAATATCTAATAAATATCTCCTGTATTATAGAACTGCTTGCCTCGCCCCCTCCTTTGCTTGTCTTTGCCTTTTGGCCTTGCAATGATCTGCCTTTCTACTCTCCCTTTCTATACTTGTGTCTCAGTTGTTCTAGCTCACTGAAAAAGTGTTAAGCCAGTCTATCAGCATAATAGACACACAAGTAGCATTTTCTAAAGGAGATCAGCGATGGCAGCCCCATATTTATTTCAGGAAAGGTTGACCTAAAATATAGTTTCGCTTTGTGCTGTTAAGTTAGGGTATTATGTGTCAGTCATGCTTTTATCAGTATTTACTGTATGATGATCTCCAGCTTTACATAGCTTGTATATCTTTGTCATGGCTGTTTAGTGCTGGCCACACACATGCTATCATTTATTTGGACCCAAACTGAGCACAGTTTTTAAGGCATATTAGAGAAGTGCAAGCAAATTAAACAGTTGAGCTTTAATCCAAATAAGAAATTCTATATTCCTGCCTATCCTGCTTCCTTAAAGGAGATCTATGAGGTGAATGATTTCCACTAATCCTCATAGTTAGAGCCGACCTGTGACAGAAGCTGTCACAGGTCAGCTCACTTCCTGATCGTCTCCCTGCAGTGAGTTGTGACCGTCAGTCACCGCTGCCCGCAGGGTTACCCCCCTCCCCGATCCTCCAGCGCTGAGTGGAGGAACGGCTGAGGGAGGGGTCGGGCACTGCTGGCTCTTCCTCTACATAGGCAGAGCCAGCTGTCACTCACGCAACAAGGTGGATCCAGGCAGCATTGTCGGGATCCATCCCCGGCTGCAGCGCTGTCAGTATATAGCGGGCAATAGCCGCGATATACTGAGCTTTGGATCATGGGAGGATATGTCCTCCCGTTACCCTAAAGAGAACTATGGGGAAAACACTAGCCCCCTAGTTGTCTTAAGTCACCGGGAGTCTGTCTAAACAGCCCCGACACTGTACGTCGTCAGTCACGAAGGGGTTAAACAATAACACAAGCCCTGGACTACTTCACTTAGTGCGCAGATTGTCTCACGTTCCCTTTTAGCAGAGGTTATGTTACCAACTGCCATGGATCCTGAAGTAGCAGTTTCTGCAGGAGAGCTTGTTTTGCTTATATCTTTTCTTTAACAAAGATGCTTGTATAAGAAAAGGGGTGAGTAAAGCTTTGCAGATACCTCCGAATTACATGTACTTCATTTACTTTGCATTTCAGATGTTTTCCCAGTAACTGATATCAGTTAAACTTAAACATGGCATTGGACATGAGGAAGCTGCATTTATACCTAAAGGAGAACTATGAGGTGAGTGCTTTTCACTCACCTCATAGTTCTAGCCGACCTGTGACAATGAGACTGTCACAGATCGGCTCAGTAGATCGGGAGGTGAGCGAACACATACCGGCGTTCGCTCACTTCTCGATCCTGTCACAGCTCTCTGCCGTGACAGGGGAGTGGCTGGATTCCCCCCTCCCCGCTCCGATCTGCCAGCGCTGACTGGAGGATCGGACGGCGGAGGGGGCGGGTACAGCTGACTCTGCCTCTCACGCAGCTGGGCGGATCAAGGCATAATTGTCGGGATCCGCTTCAGCTGCGGCGTCTCAGTATACCGCGAGCAGCAGCTCGCAGTATACTGAGCTTAGGGTGACGGGCGGACGCTAGTTTGTGTCCTCCCGTTACCCTAAGGAGAACTATGGGGAAAAGCCTTAACCCCATAGTTCTCCTTTTTAAAGGATTATTAAAGCCACGGGATTTTAATATATATATAAAAAATCCCGTGGCTTTAATAATGCCGAAAATGTGATCTGCGCATGTGCCCGCCCCAAGATTTTTTTGCAAAAAGTGTCAAGGAAAAAAAAACCCGATTTGAACAGGTTTAATGCTTACACGTGTCTTCCCCGCGGGCTCCCCTCCGAAAAATGTGAAAAAAAATCTTGGGGCGGGCACATGCGCAGATTACATTTTCGGCCGGGGCGCGAGTAGAGAACAAGGTAAGTCGATGGACGGTGTGCACCCGCATGCAGACACCGTGGGACAGGAAGTGCCAGCAAGCCCAGAGGAGTCAGCGCTGGATCGGAGCCACATTTATAGATATTTAACACACTGCATCTAAGCAGATTCAAGGTCATGCTTCATACACAAACTATAATTCTGTTGGGGTAGTGGGTAGGATCTATTCACACTGGGAAGAGTGGTGGAGACAGAGCCACCGTCAGGGGGGGTACGGCCGATACTCATGTAAGGGGCCCGGGCAGCCTCCGGGGCCCGCCCGGGACCCATACATGAGTATCGGCCGACGGTGAAGTGCGAGAAGGCGGCCGGGCCCCCGCAGCAGCCGGGGATGGAGTATTGGCCCTAGCAACGCAGGGCCCCAGCATTGCCGCTCCAGCGGCTTCAAGACAAGCTGGGGCCCCATCAACGGCGCTGCTCGTCTCAGGGCGGAAGTGACGGCACGTTGATGACGTGACGTCACTTCCGGTCAGTCCAGCGGGTCGGGTGTGCAGGTCAGTGGCGGATCCGAGGGGGGAGCCGCTGCCATCCTGAAACTGACAGGAGGATAGCACCCTGCCTGCCGCTCGATCATCGTAATCCAGGCAGGGAGGAGAGCGGAGCTGCTTTCCTCCTGTCCGTTTCAGGATGACAGCGGCTGTGTGCGTGGCCGAGCGGAGGATCGGTAAGTATCATTGATATCTACCGATCCTCCGTGTACAGCACAAACACCGGAGTGATCGTCTGATCACTGATGTGACTATGGGGGGGACATTAGAGTGTAACCTCCTCTGTACAGAGACTGATGTGACTGGCTCAGTGTTCTCTGTACAGCGCTGCGGTATATGTCAGAGCTATATATAAATGTATAATCATAACGGTGCGGGGGGATCGTTATGGGGACCGAGCGGTGCAGGGAGGGGGCCCCGAAATTTTTGATGGCTGCCCTGGGTGGAGAAGAAAGTAACATGGAAATTTGTATGCTTACCTTTCCATCATTTTCCTTTCCTGGTACCTGTACATGGCAGCATCCAATAGGTATGCTGCCATGTAGGTACCAGGAAAGTGTCTTCTGGCTGACAACCGCCTCTGAAGATGGATAGCTGAATAGGGAGAAAGGAATCGGAGGGCTGACAGCGCTGCAAATTCTGCAGCAGTAACCATCACAGGAAATGTTGCCACAGCAGCAGCACTGTCAGGATCAACAGATATGAGCTTGGAAACTCAACTCAGATTACAAATAGGATGTTTTGTTAGTATGATAGGAAACGCTTACAATTTTTAGGGGACTTTTGCGTTTTGTCGGGAGTTCTACTTTAAGTGAGAAAAAGAACCATTGGGGTCATTAACCTTTATGCTGCTGGTGGCAGATTGGGATTTGTTAGGGATATTTGTAAAATGTTGTTTTTATTATAGCTATAGAACTACATAAATGATAGTTATTTTCTTCAAGGGCTTACTTAGCTGACTTTTCTCCTTTTTTTGTTTTGTGCGCAGGATGACAACCATCAGAAACAGGAAAATTTCACGATCAGTATGACCTGTCAGTTTTGCTGGCAGCTCCTGCCTTCTGACTATGAGTGCAGTAAATCTAATTCAAGTATCTGCAAGACCGTGGCCTGTCCTCGACAACGTTACAATGCCACCTGCACTGTCAAGGACCATGTGCATTGTTTAGGTATGTGAAGTAGTTCTCAGAATTGTTTTGGAAAGGCTAGCATAGCAAGAGGTCATTTTTTAACTTGTTAGTCAGTTCTGTGACATCTGTGCTTAAACTGGTATTACTGGTTGTAGTCATTTGCACTGTTTATTTTGCAGGTCGGCGTGTGTTCCCAAAGATGTTATATTGTAACTGGACTGGGGGTTACAAGTGGTCCACAGCACTTGCACTAAGGTAATTGCTGCATTATGTTCTGCTTTGAAACTACTACTGACTATAGTTACTAGGGATGCACCGAAGCCGTTTTTTCGGTATCGAGTTGCAATATATATTTTTTTGGTACTGACCGATATCGAGTACCGATACTCATGACCCATTGCCTGGCTTCCTGATTGCCTGGGAAGCCGGTGTTCTATTGAAAGAACACCGGCTTCACTTACTGAGGCTGCCTGGCTGCCTGACCAATCAGGAAGCCTGGGGTGGGTCATGAGGTGCTACCCGGCTTCCTGATTAATCAGGAAGCCAGGCTGCGTAGCAACACGTTAAGCTGGCTTCCTATCCAATCAGGAAGCCTGGCAATATATCATGACCCGCCTCCCACCTTCCTGATTGGCTATGAAGCCGGCTTTACTTGTTCCTAGGCAGCCTGGCTTCCTGACCAATCAGGGAGACGGGTCATTACGTGCCGCCCAGCTTCCTGATTGGAAAGGAAGCCGGCTCCATGCTCCCTAAGTACCGGTATCGGAGGTAAGTATCAGAGCGTTTGGAGCGTTTGGATGAGTACAAGTACTCCCACAAATACTCGGCATCTGCACCGATACTAGTATTGGTGCATCCCTAGTGCCGGTGCACAGGTGCATTCAGCAGCCTCTGCAGTTTGGCCCAGCAAGTGTGTGCCATACTTGATACAGGTTTTCTTTTTTTATTTAGACACCCAATATAATTCACACCCCATATTTGCTGCCGAATACTGGCTTTCATTTTGATGTGTGTGTGTAAACAAAAAAAAAGACCTTCTGACACTGTTCAGCCAAGAGGTAGATGGATACAAAGTAACATTGTTACTTTTGTATTTACTGTTGGGCGAGTGGAAGCCAGTGCAGGGATTGGCAAAGGGGGGTTGCAGACACTGAGTGGTTGGTCAAGTGGAGGAGTCTGGCAGCTGCATTTATGAACTGACTGAAGGGGGGATATCCTGTGTAGTGGAAGGCCAATGAGGAGGGAGTTACAATAGTCAAGACGAGAGATAACAAGGGAGTGTATGAGTAGTTTTGCGGTTTCATTGGTGAGGAAGGGGCGTATTTTTGAGATGTTACGAAGGTGAAGGCGGCAGGATTTGGATAGTGATTGGATGTGGGGAAGAAAGGTGAGGTCAGAGTCAAGGATGACACCTAGGACCCTGGCATTGGAGGAGGGGTGGATAGTTGTGTTATCAATCTCAACTGAAATGTTGGGGGAAGGTGCACGGGCGGGAGGAAATATCAAGAGCTCAGTTTTTGAAAGATTGAGCTTTAAGAAATGTTGTGACATCCAGACGTATATGTCAGTTAGTAGATTAGTGACACGAGAGGACACAGAGTTGTAGAGTGGAAAGATAAATTTGAGTGTCATCGGCATAGAGATGGTATTGGAAGCCATGTGAGGTTATTAGTTGACCAAGGGAGGAGAGAGGAGGGGTCCAAGGACAGAGCCTTGGGGGACCCCTACAGAAAGAGGAAGAGGAGGGGAGGAGTTAGAATTGTAAGTGACACTAAAGGAGCGCATAGATAAGTAGGAGGAGAACCATGAGAGAGCAGAGTCTTGTAGGCCAAGCGAGTGGAGTTTTTTGAGGAGCAGCGGGTGGTCAACAGTGTCAAAAGCAGCAGAAAGGTCTAATAGCAAGAGTAAGGAATAGTGGCTGTTGTTTTTAGCTGTTATTAGGTCATTGGTGAGTTTTAGGAGGGCTGTTTCAGTAATACTAAAGTATTAATACTAAAGTATTACTTCCTTCATTCCCCTTAGCAATTATTTTTTTTTCCTGCCATTTTTTTTTTTTTTAAACTTTAATATTTAAACCTGTTTCTTTTTCTTTTATTTATTCTGTTTTGTTTTTTTTCTTTTTTAGTCTCACATTAAAAAAAGTGCAGAATTGGAAAAAAAAAGAGGCTTGATTTAATTTATAAAAAACTTTGTGATGCTTTGTACCAGAATCATTATATCAGTATCAATTAAACAGGACAAATGTATACTTTTCATCTACAGGAACACTCATATTTTTAAAACTAACACTGATCAAATAGAAAAGTGTACTTGTTTTTTAATTTAGTTATAGATATATTATTTTTGTCTATGAATTGCATAGAAATAAAAAATGCTAGACAGTCTCACAAAAGAAAGCCATTTTTGTCCTAAATAAAATATGTATTACTTTATCTTAAGTGATGACAAATGTATTGCTGAATAAACAGAGCTATATCAGAAATGTAAAAACTGCCCTGGTCCATGGTGCTGTACAGATGTGAGCGCTGAAGTGACTATAGAGACCCAGCCCATTCAACAACGATCTTCCCATAGGATCATATGTACATTTGCCATATTTCATGCATGTTATTTACCTGTAAAAGCCTCCATGTAGACATCCAAAAGCCCAGAGACTGCTGCTGGGCCCGCCATCTTGGAGGTGATGCCAGCAGACTAGAGCATACTCAGAGCTGTCAAGGTTATGTAGAGAGGTGAAGGAAGGGGCAGATAAGCTTGCCAGCTCAGACAGTAATTACACACCCAGAAGAGGAGAGAGCTGTGCTAGGGAGTTGGCTATTCCTAAAGGGTTAAATGTGCTAGCAAGTCAAGCATTGTAAGCCAATACAAATTGTTTATAGAAAGGAAAAACGCTGCAAGTAAGCATTTAAAACATTTGATTTTTCTGTGCTTTTACCTGTAATTTGACAGGTTCTCTTCATTGTAAATTTGTCATGAAGGCTATCATTACTGACTTCTCATGAAAATCCTAATTGCCTGGCTGTTGTGTTAATGCCCTGGCTTCAATAGTTTTAGTGACTAACCTCGAGCAAGCATGGAGATAATGAATTCTGACATTTTGCTATATGCTTACTCTTGGGTTGTGGCTTAGAGGTCAGACAAAGCTAGATAACATACATTTTCATAAGGAGGCCAGCAAGGGCAGCTCTTATATTTCTGAAATTACAGGTATACTTTTAAAGCTCATAGTTTTAAATGTTAAAGCCAGTCTGAAGCAAGATCAATGTTTCTAAAGAGCCATTGGTAAGAGATAACAGCCACCTCCTGGTGCCTACATACCAGTTTCCTATTGTGTACGTAAGGAGACCCAGAAAACGATACATTTGAAACCAGCTTCCTTACTCAAGAGGCTGGCCCCACTGACTACTCCACCTCATTATTGGCCAGTGACAGACCAGCACTGGGGTGGGGGGCAGAGCCAGCCGGTCAACCACAGGAGCTGAATGGAATTTCCATAAGAGGATGTTCTGGTTTCCAGAGTACCCAGGAGTCTCTGCTGGGTGCAAGCACCTAGAGTTGCCTTCTATCACATATCAGTGGATCTTGTAATATTTAAGTATGCGTTGGGGTTTTAGTGGAGTAAAATATGGATACATTATGTTTTACAGATCTTATGTTTCCAATATTGTATCTTGCAGTATCACACTTGGAGGATTTGGTGCCGATCGTTTTTACCTGGGCCAATGGAGAGAAGGACTAGGAAAGTTATTCAGTTTCGGAGGCCTGGGAATTTGGACTTTGATAGATGTGTTTTTAATTTGTGTTGGGTATGTTGGACCTGCAGATGGATCTCTTTATATTTAGCACATTGGCTCCAAAAGAGAGAACAAGCCTCAGCTTTTCAGAACGCTTCAGTTTGTTCTTATTTTGTATATTTTATATGATGTACGGTATCTGTACTTTTCATTGAGGTCAAATTGGCTCAAAGAACTTTGATGCTTCTTGGAACTTTAACTAGAAAATGTCACTTCTCTTTTCTTTAATAACTACAATAGTGTTTGCACAGCTAAATGACAAAAGAAAAGTGTTTCTCTGAGCTTGCTATGCGTTCATACTGTTGACGCTACATATTATGGCAACTCTGTCGTCAGAATTTTGTTGTTTGAACCTTATTAGGCCCCTTTTACATGGTTGGCATCCATTCTGATTAGCAGGGGATCTTGTGACATCCGTTTCCATTCCTTTTCTCCTCCGTGGCCATTTGCATCAAATTACCTCCAATTCGTCCCGTTCAGGTTTGCTAAAACGGAACTCTGTTTACACCGTCTCCCCATAGACTAACATTGAGCTTCTGATCTAATCGGAAAGCCATGTGAAAGGGGCCTTACTTGGTTTACCAGCTTAGAGATACCAATTCCAATATTCATTAAAACACATTGCTACTGCTATCTGATATGTTTGTAAAGATTCTTCCACTTTCACTGCATGGAATTGGAGGTTACGTAGAATTTCTTGTAAAGACTGTTCTAATATATAAATGTATAAGTGTGATCACACTTGAAATGCTTTTTATCCACACTACTAGAGGGAAGGATAGCAACCCGATCTCGTGTTCTCTTTACTCTCACGTGAACTGATTCTGGTAAATAAAATCCCAGCAGGGACACAGTAGTTGGTGGTCAGTGTCAGTTGACTGGTGATTGGTAATGAGCCCAAGGACACATGTACACTCGGAGATCCTGCAGTATTCAGATGGCAGTGGGAGTGCAAAGGGACACAGTACACAAAAAGTGCCTATACACACAAATCCTGTCATTAGATACATAACAAAACTGCTGTTGCTGACTTCCTTCTGAAAATGCTGTTATGCTGGCTCACTGGCTCCAGTTCAATGACCTGCATCAAGTATGTAGATTGGGAAAGTCATGGAAAAGCATGTTCCTTTCTGCATACGTTTTGGGTCATTGTCTCAAAGTATTAAAGCAAGATGCAGGAAATACTGATGGAGTAGTCCGTAAGAACAGCCTGCATCGTCTTCTCTCTTTTTTTTTTAAACAGGTTCCCTTCATCATGTTATTAGAATCTAAGATAATTGTTTATTGCTTAATATCTGGCTGCAGCTAAGCCCTGAATAAGACAAGTACTGTGGACTACTGTATATGGCTCACCGAGCTGTACTTTCTGTTATTTATTTATTGTCATTGGATGCTGGTTTTTCTTTTCTCTACTTTCTTTCTAGTCAGGATATCCATAAAGAATGCTTAGCATGGTCACTGCACTGCTGTTTGGCTGGATAGTGGCTATTCTCACTAGCGCTTTGTGTGTAGCCGGAGAGAGAGTTTTACTTTCCACAAGGGAACATTATTACTTGTAATGCTAGTATTCAGTATAAGAGTTCCTTTTTAACCCCTTCATGACGGAGGCCCTTTTTGTCCATTTTTGCACCCATGTTATATCCCACATTTTAGGCCTGAAAATGACGTAAAACCCCCCAACATTATATATTTTCTGAATGCCAAGACCCTATAGAATAAAATGGTGGTAGTTGAAAATTTTTATGTTGCGCAATATTAGCGCAACTCCTTATTAAACCCCAAAATTTAGTGATCCCTTCTTCGGGACGCAGAAGCGATCTGGCGACAGGTAAGTCGCCAGGATCGCTTCTGTTGTAAAGCCGACAGTCGGCTCTACAAGTTTAAACAGACTCCCGGCGGCAAAAGTACGTCGTCAGTCACAAAGGGGTTAAAGTGACATTAAACTCAGGAGTTAAATCTTACAAAATGCATTTAAGCTCCTTAACGTTTAACAAAATGTATGATATTTGTGTATCACTCAGCTGTAGATCCTCAAATTGTCTCTGAATTGGTGCTGACACTGTCCTTCCTTCTGCAGGGTGGCTACTTTTGTTCCCCATGGTCCCTGTGTGTGTTGTAAAGTAGTCACCGCTCCTAGCACACTGCTGTGATGGACTACATTATCAATACAAATTAGGAACATAAACATGAGATTGTTTGTTTGTATTGAGATTGTAGTCCATCACAGCAGTGTGCTTGGAGCGGTGACTACTTTACAACACACACGCAGGGACAATGGGGAACAAAAGCAGCCACCCTCCAGAAGGAAGGATTGTGGCAGCACCAATTCAGAGATGCTTTGAGGATCTACAGCCGAGTGATACACAAATAAGATAGTTTTGTTAATAGTTAAGGTACTTGAATGCATTTTTAGGTTTATGGTAAGGTTAGAGTTTTGGGTCACTCTAATTTTACAAGCCTTCATTTATATTTTCCTCCAGCGACAGGGGTTGGGACAAACCTATGATGCTACAAGGTGTTGCAACAGCTAAAACCGCCCTGGTAGTGTTATAGTTTGTACCAAATTCTGTTGTTGCCACGTTTATTAGGCAAGTTTGTGGCCATGTAAATGTGGAGGAATATTTAAATAACGGTATGTGAAATATAAAAAAAAAAACGAAAAACGAATGTACTTAAAGCCCAAGCGCGGGCATAATGATCTTACAGGAGTTCAGTAAGTTGTACAGTGCACTAGTTGTACACCCTCCTGCCATTTTCAGCACTGCCTTCCCCACTAATCATCTGGTATATATTCCGGTGGGAGTTCAGCTCCTGAATTTCTGTGCCTGCTCCACCTGTAGTGCTGCAGGTCTGGTAAACCTCGGAGCTGTGGTTGCATCTCTATCCCCCTCTACTAGCCCTCTGGTCAGCCATACAATGGTGCCTGGGGCTGTTTACTTTGTGATTGACCAGGAGGGGAGAGGGATGGAGATGTGACCACAATGCTACAGCTGGGGCAGGCTCAGCGGGAGCTGGAGTTCCATCCGCATGTATACCTGGTGATGATTTTCAGGAAGAAGAAGGAAGAGCTGACTATAGCAGGAGGGTTTACACCAAAGGCACTGTACATCTTGCTGAGCTCCAGTAAGATTATTGCGCCAGGTGTTGAACTTTAACGCTTTCATTACTTGTATTAACCACACAGTCATCAGAATACAAAATGTGTTTGTTGTGATAATGATCCTTTTATGTAAATAGCTGCTTCATCATTGACACACAAGTGTATAATAAGTAAATCTATATCTAGTTGATACATGGTAAGGAGTGGTATTGATCCCGGTGCTTACTAGCTATAGAAATGTGAGCTGCCAATCCTATCAGCTCCAGGTTCTACAACAAGACCATTGTTGACTTTGTTTTTTCATACAGCTTTTACAGAATGCAACCAAACATCTGTCCCTTCCACGTCGTTCCTTTTCCTCTGTTACACTTGTATGTGCAAAGCAATACTGTAAATAAAATATTTCCTGTAATTACCACTGCAGTGTGCATAGTTATTGTTCCACTCGATGTGCATGTAGGTCCAAAGTCAGGTAGGCTGTGTATACACACACCTAATATTGGCAAACTCAGCTGTCCGTTATGCTGTATTGGATGTTCGTGGAGAAAATGTTTTTATATTGTGTATAATATATTCTTCGTATTGCTATTACATACGTGGGGTGTTATGTAGTTATTATTATTATGAATTTATATAGCGCCAACAGTTTGCACAGTGCTTTACAATATAGGGAAGACATTACAATACAATTCAAGATGGTAAGGAGGGCCCTGCCTGTGAGAGCTTGCAATCTAAAAGGGACGGGGAGATGATACATGAGGAGGTAGCTGTGTGGGGATGAATTGTTTGAGAAAGTGATAGTTCAGTGGTTAGGTTGAGGTGGGATAGGCTTCCTTGAAGAGATGAGTCTTAAGGGATCGATATAAAGGCAGTCAGGGGGGAGATAGTTGGACAGGTTGGGGTAAAGAGTTCCAGTGGATGGGAGAGACTCTAGAGAAGTCCTGGAGGCGGGCATGGAAGGAGTTAACAAGCAGCAGGAGGTCTTTGGAAGAGCGGAGGGGACAGTTAGGGCTCAGTCACACTAGATGCAGTGCGTTTCGGCCTGATTTTGGCCGGAACGCACTGCCTCGCATTGCGGCCGGCTCACTTTTAAGTGGGGTAGAAATTGGCCCGCCACGTCCCCTCCGACCCCACTAAAAAGTGAGCCGGCCGCAATGCGAGGCAGTGTGTTCCGGCCTAAATCGGGCCGGAACGCTCTGCATCTAGAGTGACTGAGCCCTTAGGGTGATAGTATAAGGAATGTCACCAGCACACCAAGAATCCTTTTGAGGATCACCAAATGTTCATTCAGAACCCTGCCAAGTTTAGACCAGCGCTTTTGGGGCCGGGCAGGGTCCCTTCATCAGGCTTAGCACTGCAGTCATTACAAGCACCCTGATCCGCTAAGGAGTGCGACAAGCCTTCTCTACATCCCTGAGTTAGGATGATAGTTCACAAAGGATAGCAGGGAAGCCTGGTAATAACATATGAGTTCAGTTTACAGGAAGTAACAAGGACACTGGAATTCTGGGAAGATTTACAGCTATTTTTCTGATTGCCCCAAAAATAGGAAACTGATAAAACCACCTTGTCTAAGGACTGCTAAGCTGCAATATATGATGTTTGGGGTTTGCTAAGTGAAATGACCCAACTCTGGCCACCGGTGGGTGTGACCGTCACCTACAAGCCTGACATGTATAATGGGTCCTTGTGTGAAGTTTGGGGGAAATCGGTTAACGTATGCTAAGCCACATTAGGCTCCCCAAATATCAGCTTAATGGTGCTCATTTGCCTTGTGGCAAACCAGACCCCATGAAACTTCCAGGACGGGTTTGGGAAGCTGAAAACGTAGGTTGTGCAAAGTTTCAAGGCAATTGAATGAGGAGTAAGCACTTTTTTTTTTTTTTTACACATGAAACAATTTAACATGAAATGTTAGGGTGTCCCCCAAAAAGGTTTGGCTTTAATTGGCCTTAGCGTGCTTGGCATGTGAGGTAGAGTCATTACACTGTAAGCTCCTTTTAGTGAGGGGACAGTATGTAAAGCTCGTCATACGAAGTAGTCACATGGATGAGAAATGTCAGTCAGCCCTCAGGTACCTCGCTGTCCATGTTACAGTGCGCGGTAAGCAGTGTGTGTCCTAAAATGATCGGAGGAACTTCTCCGGTATGTGACTGTGTGGGCAGGATTACCGCCTCCA